GTGTATGAGTGTTTGGCCTGCATGTGTGTAAGTGCACCACATGTTGTTAGCCACCACGTGGGTACTGGGAAGTGAATCCAAGTCCTCTGCAAGAGCAGCCAGTGCTCTTAACCACTAAGTCATTTCTCCAGCTCTTCATTTTGGTTTTAATGTGCATTACCAAATGTCCAATGATACTGAACATCTTGTGAGATGCTGACTTACCTGTATAGCCTCTTGTTGAAATGCACAGACGTCTGCCTATTTTGTAATTGGGTTGTTTTCTAACTTTATTTATTCATTGAGACAGGTTCTTGCTATGTTGCCCAGGCTTTCCTGGAATTGGCAAACCTGCTGCCTTCACCTCTGGAGAGTTGGGATTATAAGCCTGCACAACTTCACTTAGTTGCCTTTAACCTCTTGAGTTCACAAAGATCCTTACATATACTGAATACAAGACTTTTGTTGAATGTGATTTGCAAATGTCTTCTTCCAGTCGGTCTGTGGACTGTTTCCTTTCTACTCCCCTCCTCTAAAATGTATTATTATTATTATTATTATTATTATTATTATTATTATTTTATTACGTGTGTGTGTGTGTATACCATGGGGGATCTCACATGGGCCACAGCACTCTGTGGAGGTCAGAGGACAACTTTCAGGAGTCAGTTCTCGCCTTCTACTACATGGGTTCCAGGGCTCGAACTCAGGTCATTAGGCAATCACCTTTACCTGCTGAGCCATCTTGCCTGCCCTTCTCTCTTTCTAGATAGGGCCTCAAGTAGCCCCAGGCTGGCTTCAAACTTGCTATGTGCCTGAAGCTGGCCTTAAACTCTTGATCCTGTTGCCTCCACCTCCTGAGTACAGGATTAGAAGCCCAGCATGTGGGTTTTGTTTCCATGCTATTAACATGGTCTTTCATAAAAGTTTTGTTTTGTTTTAAAGACACGGTCTCACTTTGTAGTCTGGGACTCTAGCCCAGGCCTTCCCCAAACCCTCCTGCCTCAGTCTCCTGAGTGCTTGCATTATAGGTATGAGTATCTATTCTCATCCTTGAATTATTTATTATTTATTTATTTGTGTGTGTGTGTGTGTGTATTATGTGTGTGTGTTTGAGTGCTCAAGTCACAGTATGTATGTAGAAGTCAAAGGACAACTTGCAGGAGTTGGCTCTCTCCCCTTCTACCATGTGGGTCTTGGGGCTTGAACTTAGGTGTTGAGGCTCGGTGGCAGTCACCTTTGCCCTCTGAGCCATCTCAAATGGCCCATGCCTTGAAGTTTTATTAAGTCCAGTTTACCTTTTTTTTTAATTTTAATTTTTTAATCTATGAACTCTTTGCCTAACTAGTCTCGCCACTGGTTTATAGTTAACCATTTAACATTTATGTCTACATTTGTGTTATTAAGGCACATTTCTTTCTCTGTCCTGTTTTAGCACCACTTGAAAAAAAAGATCCTTTCTCATTATACCATTTTTGCATTTTTGTCAAAAAATGAGTTGGGGGGGCCTGGAGAGATGACTCAGTGGTTAAGAGCACTGACTGCTCTTGCAGATGACCTGAATTTGGTACCCAGCATCCACATGGTGGCTAACAATTGCCTGTAACTTTAGTTCCAGGGGATATGATGCCCTTGTCCTCCTCAGGCTCTGCATGCACATGGTCACATAATATATGCAGGCAAACTACTCATACACATTAAAATAAAAATGTCTTTAAAAAAACCTGAGTTGGTTGGGGATGTGGCAGATGGTAGAGTGCTTGCCTATCATTCATGAAGCCCTGTATTCCACCTCTAGCACTGCATAAACCAAGCATCCTGGCCCACACCTATACTCCTAGCACTTGGAAGGTAGAGCCAGGAGGATCAGAAGTTCAAGGTCATTCTTGGCCATAGCAACTTCAAAGGCAGGATGGACTATAAGAGAACTTTCTCAAAAGAGTTGGTTATATTTGTGTGTTTCTGAGTTCTCTGTTCCAGTCTATTGATTTTTGTGTCAATATTACTTTTCTTAATGATTGTATGTACATACGTCTTTTTTTTTCTTTTCTTTTTGGTCTTTTTGAGACAGGGTCTCCCTGTAGTCACAGCTGGCCTGGATTTGCTATGGAAACCAGGCTGGCCTTGAAATCACAGAGTCACAGAGATCCACCTGCCTCTGCTTCCCTAGAGCTGGGACTAAAGGCGTGTGCCACAACACCTGGCATATGCACATAAGTCTTGAGATGGCTCAGTGGGTAAAGTGGCTTGCTGCACAAGCCTGATGACCTGAGTTTGATCCCCCAAACCCATGTAAATGTGGCAAGAACTGACTCCACAAAGTTGATATCCACATAACACACACCCATCACACACACTCAATAAATACTTTTTTTTTTTTTTTTTTTTTTTTTGGGTCTTACTGAGACAGGGTCTCTTTGTAGCTCCAGCTGGCCTGGAACTCACTATGTAGACCAGGCTGGCCCTGATCTCACAGCCACCACATCTGGCTTCCATGAATAAAATTTATAAAGGTCATCTTAAAATCAGATAGTGTAGTGTATGGTTGTACACACCTTTAATCCCAACACTTGGGAGGCAGACGCAGGTAGATCTTTGTGAGATCAAGTCCAGTCTGGCCTACCGTAGTTCCAAGCCAGTTGTGACTACTGGGAGAACTTGTCTCAAAAGGACCAAAAAAAAAAAAAAAGACTAAAATTAATATGAGTCCAACAATTTTTTTGGTCTTTTTGAGACAGGGTCTCCCTGTAGCCCCAGCTGTTGTGGAACTCACTATGTAGACCAGGCTGGCCTTGAACTCACAGAGATCCACCTGCCTCTGCCTCCCAAGTGCTGGGATTAAAGGCATGTGCCACCAATTCCAACAATTTTTTTTTGCAGGATCTCACTCTCTAGGTCTGGCTGAGTTGGAATTCACCATGTAGATCAGGCTGGAAAACTCACAGAAATTCACCTGCCTTTGCTTTCCAAGTGCTGGGATTAAAGGTGTGTCTCACGACACCCAGCTGAGTCCAAAAACTTTTGCAAAATTATTTTAGTCTATTTATTTGCCTTTCCATAGTAAGTTTTAGAATAAATCTATCAAGTTGGTTCTGTGGTACACACCTGTAGTCTTAGCACCTTAGAGGCCAAGGCTGGAGAACTATGAGTTCTAAGCTAGCCTGAGTTATATAGCTAAATCCTGTCTCAAAAAAATGATTGGGGCTGGAGAGATGCCCCATTGACTGTTCTTGTAGAGGACCAGGGTTCAATTCCTAGCACCTACATGGTGGGTAACAATCATCTGTGACTCCAGTTTCAGGGGATCAGACGTCCTCTTCTTTCTGACCTCCATGGACATCACACACATATGGTGTACTTAGATTCATGCAGGCAAAACACTCATATATGTAAAATAAAAAAAAAACTTTTAAAAAGATTTTTTTTTAATGTACTCTTCTAGAGAGAATCGCATTAAATTGTATAGATCACTTTGGAGAGAAGGGATGTTTAGAATGTCAAGTCTTCTTCCATTTCAATAAAACTCCAGGGCCTGGGGATGTCCAGCTGGTGGTGCATGCCTGTAATCTTAGCACTTGAGAGGTGGAGAGAGGAGGATCATAAGTTCAGAGTCATCCTTGGCTATATAGCGATCTTGAGGCCAGCCTAATAATACAGGAGACTGAGTGTCAAAAAGGGGTGGGGTGGGGTCTTGCAGCCAGTCGTGGTGGTGGACTCCTTTAATTTCAGCACTCTCGAGGCAGAGGCTGTAGGACCTCTGTGAGTTCAAGGTCAGCCTTTTCTACAAAGAGAGTTCCAGGTAAGCCAGGGATACATAGTGAGACCCTGTCTAAAAAAGGAAGGGGGGGGGTCTCAAGAAAAGGGGATGAGTGGGGCTGGAGAGATGGCTCAGTGGTTAAGAGCACTGGTGGCTCTTGCAGAGACCCTGGTTCAATTCCCAGCATCCACATGGCGGCTAATAACCGTCCATAGCTCCAGCTCCAGAGGATCCGACGACGCCCGTTTCTGACCTCCTTGGACATTGCACGACACGGGTGCACTTACCTACATGCACGCAATACATTCGTACACATAAAATAAAATAAATTTTTTTTTTCAAAAAAGGGAAGAGTAATCTGGGAGACGTAAACATGGCCACTCATTCCTGTTGGCTGTTTACAGGATCTGAATTTCACAACTTCTTGGCGGGACAGGAATTAGCATCCTCATTTAAGTAACGAGGATGAAGCGGAGCAGGGGTTGCCGTTAAAGGTCTCACAAGCAGGTTTCATTCTTTTCTGTGGGATCTGTCTAATGGATTTACCAACTTGGGCAGTCAGGTTCTACCAGCTCTAAGGAGCCCCAACCTTACGCGCTGCAGTTCCTTCCTAGCCCGCCAGGGTGCGGCAGGTCCTTGCTCGCGGGTAGCTGGCAGCAGCTGGAGTGTGGGGTGTGGAAGATGGTTGAGGGGTGCGGCAGAAAGCTGCAAAGGCAGCCCACCTAGCTGGGGTCCCTTGCACAGAGGAGACAGTCCGGACATATCTCGATCCCTTTGATCCCCTTACTGCAGGGACGCCGGGCACGCAGTCAGCTGCCCACTCCGCGGCGCAGAAGGGCAATGGACGCGTATTCCAGGCTGGCCTTCAGACCCCCTTCGCGATCCTGGCCTCGTCCACCCACCCGAGTCGCAGCTCAGAGCTGAGTTTCCCAACCCTGCAGGCCTCCAAAACTTCTTTCGCCGGGATCCTTCGAACCCGCCCCACAGCACCGCAGGGGAATTCGCCGAGCCAGGGAAGCCCGGCCCGCGGCTCCTCCCAGCTCCGCCACACAACTTGTCCCACTCGCTGTTTCCCTTAACCACGCCCCCACAAGTCCCGCCCCGGCTCCTTTTGGTCACGCCCGCAGAGCTGGCCCCGCCTCTGAAGCGTCCATGCTTAGCTGTCCGTCACTCCCGGAAATATCGCGAGACTCCAAATTGTTCCACTCAGGCGCGTGAAGGAAGTGCTGGGGGGGGGGGTGAGGGAAGGTGGGGGAGAACGGAGGCCGGGAAGGCTGTGGGCACATCGGTTCCGGCTGAGTGGGCGGAGTCGCGCGTGCGCACTACGCAGCCCTGGTGGGAGCTGCGGTTTGGCGTTGCTGTTTCTATCCCCTTTTCCGTCCCCGACTCGGGTTTGTGTGGTGCTGGCAGCGGCGTCCTCTTGCATCAGTCGGCGGGCCGCACGCACGTGGAGGCCTCTGGGGAACGGAGACGGTAGGCGTGGAAGAGCATGGGGCGGGGACCACGTGATGAATGAATTAGAACGCAGAGTGGGGAAAGCGGAAATGGGTTGAGAGGCTGGGCGGGGAGAGGGCTGTCCAGGGCGCCCCCTTCCGGTTGCACCTTTGGGAAAGGAAAGCTGCGTGGGTCAGTTTACCAGGTCTGCTCTCCCCCACTCTGATCTCCTCCCTTCCCCATTCCAGCACTCAGAACATGGCTGAAAACCGAGAACCTCGAGGAGCCGGCGACACCGAGCTGGACCCGGTGGAGTACACCCTTCGGAAACGGCTTCCCCACCGCCTGCCCCGGAGGCCCAACGACATATATGTCAACATGAAGACTGATTTTAAGGCCCAGTTAGCTCGCTGCCAAAAGTTGCTGGACGGAGGTGCCAGGGGGCAGAACGCATGCACCGAGATCTACATTCATGGCCTGGGTCTGGCCATCAACCGTGCCATCAACATCGCCCTGCAACTGCAGGCAGGCAGCTTTGGGTCCTTAGAAGTTGCTGCCAATACGTCCACCGTGGAGCTGGTGGATGAACTGGAACCGGAGACTGACTCCCGAGAACCATTGACTAGGATCCGGAATAACTCAGCCATCCACATCCGGGTCTTCAGGGTCACGCCCAAGTAATTGAAGTGAATCCGAGACACATTCACCAACTCCTTGAGCACACACATCTAGTTCTTATGTGGCTGATGTGGTTCGTGTTCCAAGTTCAGTAATGGACTGCTTTGCAGAACCTTGTAAGAAAAGCCTAGAGGGCTGAGAGGTACTGTGTCTTGGACTCAAGAATTGAATCATGCTGTACAATAAAAGTTCCAGTTGTGTTGGTGCCCTGCTTCTAACAGCCTTTGCCTCTTCCCTGTAATTCTGTGTGTACCTAAGCCTTTAAAAGTATTACACTACAGTGTGACTTGAATCAAATTGGTTAGTGTGGTACAGAAACCTAATAGTCACAGTACTCGCAAATTTTTCAGTCTCAGGAAGATTAGACAGAGTACGCTCTGGTACAAAGTACACATCTGAATAAGAGGCAGCTGGGATGGTAGTATCTTTGAGATGTACCAAATAGTTCCCAAGTATGGGAAAGGTGAGAGGTTTAAAGATGAAGGGAGTGGGTTAGGTCAGTGCAAGAGCCTTGCCTAGCATGCATTGAGGCCTTAGGTTCAATTCTCAATAACCACAAAAATTAAATGGAGGGCTGGGCAATGTAAAGTCCTTGCTGTAGCAAGTGTGAAGACTTGAGTTTCGATACCCAGAACCCACATAAAGCTTTGCACAGCCTGTCATCATGACAGTCTGTAACCCTAGCATGTGCATAGTGAGATGGGAGGCACAGATGGGAATCCTGAGAAGCTTGGGCTGCCTAGCTTGGTATGCACATTGACCAGAGATGCCGTCTCAAGGTGGGAGACAAGGATTGATAATAAAGTTAAGTGTAGCACATGCACCCACACTCTTGAACACAAAAGATTTTTAAAAAGAGATAAAGACTTCACAGTCTTTTATTCCCTGATTGTGCTGGGAGTCACACCTAGGGCCTTTTGTATGCTAAGTAAATGCTTTGCTTCTGAGCCTTGCCCCAGCACTTCACTGAGAGGTTCTAGACAACTAATATGCTACCAAACCACACCCTCCAGCCCTTCCCTGGGACATTCTAGGCAAGTACTTACTACTGAGCCATACTCTGAGCCTTTTACTGGGGGTTCTAGGCAAGTGCTCTACCAGTAGCCCCTTACTGGGGGATCCTAGGCAAGTGCTCTACTGCTGAGCTAGGTCTTGAGCTGACAGTTTTGACTATTTTACTTAATTTCTGTTTCTACAGGGCCTGCATGTTTCTGAGCAATTGTAGCCCAGAGTCCTTGAGGTCAGTTTGGCTAAGCTCTTTGAAAGAAAAAAGAAGTCTCCCCTGAACAATCAATTACTGGGTGTGATGGCTAATCTTGTCAACTTCTGGGGGCTTAAAATCACCTAGGAGACACACTTCTGGGTATGTGTGTGAAGGTATTACAGGGATGTTTAGCTGAGGTGGGAAGTTCCACCCTTACTGTGGATGGCACATCCTGGACTGGTGGCCCAGATTAAACAAAAAGGAGAAAGCAAGGGGCCTGCAAGATGGCTCAGCAGGTAAAGGCACTTACTGCCAAGTCTGACAGCCTGAGTTCAGTCCCTGGGATTCACATGGTAGAAGGAGAGAACCTTTCCAGAAGTTGTCCTCTGACTTCCACTCAGGCTCCATGGTGCATGTGTACCCTCCTCTCGAATTAGTGTTTTTTAAAATTTAAGGCCACTTGGTCTACATAATGAGATCCAGGCCAACAATAGGGAGGCCCTACCCGCTACCCCTTTCCCCCTTGCCCCCAGAAAAAAAGGGACTGGAGAGATGGCTCAGCCATCTCAGATGGCTCAGAGATGGCTCATACTTGCTGTTCTTCCAGAGGACCCAGGTTTGATTCCCAGCACCCACATGTGTCTAGCAACTGTCCAGTTTCAGGGGATCCAATGCCTTCTGGCTGCTGCAGGCATTGCATGCATGTGATGTACTTACATACATGCAGGCAAAACACTCATACACATAAAAATAATAAAAAATATTTTAAAAAAGGAAAAGAGCTTAATATCAGCATTCATCTCTCTCTGCTTCCTGACTGAGGACACAGTGTAGCTAGCTCCACCTTTTCTGCTGCCATGCCTTCCACACCATGATGGATTATCCCCTCAAACAGTGAGCTATGACCTGTTTATGGGCCTTGAGATTAACACAGTGTGGATCACAACCTTCTTTCTAAAAATCCAATTAACCCAGTTCTCAACGCTACCAAGGCTGAAGCAGGAGGATCATGAGTTTGAGACCAGTCTAGGCTACATAGCAAATTCAAGGTCCTACTGGGCTACAAAGTGAGACCTTGTCTCAAAAATGGTACAATTAGCAAACAAACCAGCAAAGAGACAGCTTACAGAATGGGAGAAAATCTTTGCCAACCATATACCTGACAGGAAATAAGTATCTAGACACTACAAAGATCTTCCCAAATTACCAGAAGACAAATCATCTTATCAATTAATGGGCCAATGAACTGAATAGAAAGTACTCAAAGGAAGAAATATAAATTGGCCAATAAATATTTGAAAAAGCATTCATCTTTGGCTATTAGAGAAATTCAAATTAGAACTGTCTTGAGATTCCATCTCACCCTAGTCACAATGGCTGTCATTAAGAAAACAAGTGCTGGCAAAGATGTGGGCAAAGAGGGACCCTTATATACTGTTGGTGGGAGTGTAACTTGTGGCAGTCAAATTACCAAATGACCCAGCTATATCATTCCTTGGCATATACCCAAAGAACTCTAAGTCAGCTTTCAATAGAGATTCTACACATTCATGTCCATTTTTGCACTATTCACAATAGCCAAGATATGGAACAAGCCTAGATATACATCAACAAATGAATGGTTGAAGATGCCATGGTTCAAGGCTGGTGAGATGGCTCACTGGGTAAAGGTGCTTCCTGCCAAGGCTGATGACGTGGGTTCAAACCCCAGGACCCACATAATGGAAGGAGAGAAGGGACGCCTGCAAGCTGTTCTCTGACCTGCATACATGTGTACGCCCACAAACATGCACAAAATAATTTGTTTTTGAGACAGAGTCTCATTGTCTAGCCCTGGCTGCATTGTAGCTTGGTATGTAGACCAGGACGGCTTTAAACTCACAGAGATCTTCCTGCTTCTTCTAGAGTGCTGGGATTAAAAGCAATCACCTGGCTTAAAATAAAATTTTAAATTAAAAACAAATTAATTTTTATTTTATGTGTTTGTTTATGTATGTAAGTGTACCCATGCATGCCATGCCCGTGGAGGCCAGAAAGAGGATGTCAGATCCCTCAGAACTGGAGTTATAGATGATTACTAGCTGCCATGTGGATGCTAGGAGCCAAACCCAGGTCTTCTGCAAGAGCAGTCAGTGCTCTTAACCACTGAGCCATCTCTGCAGCCCCTATTTTACTTATTTTTATGTGTATGAGTGTTTTACCCACATGTATACAAGTGCACCCTTGCATGCAATTCCCACAAAGGCCAGAAGAGAGCATCAGATCCCCTGGAACTGGGGTTTCTGATGGTTGTTAGTCACCATATAGGTGCTGAGGACAGAACTCAGGTCCTCTCCAAGAGCAGCCAGTGCTCTTAACCACTGAGCCATCTTTCCAGCTTAAAATGTTAAAAAAATTTTAAGAGAATGTGGTTCATATACATAATGAGATTTTACTCAGCTGTAAAGAAACATAAAATTATGACATTTTCAGGAACATGGAGACAGGAGAAAATCATTCAGTGAAACAAGCCAGATTCAGGAAGACAAATAGCATGCGTTTTCTCTCATATGCAGAAAAGAAATTTATTACTGGGTTTGTGTGTGTGTTTTATGTATGTGTACTTGTCTATGTGTACATGTGTGTAAAAGCCAGAGGTTGATGTCAGGTCTCTTCCTCAATCGCTGTCCACCTTATATTATTTTTTTGGGTCTTTTTGAAACAGGGTCTCCCTGTAGCTGCAGCTGTCCTGGACACTATGTAGGCCAGGCTGGTATTGAACTCACAGAGATCTGCCTGCCTCTGCCTCTGCAGAGAAATTAAAGGTGTGCGACACCACGCCCAGACTTCCACCTTATTTTTTGAGGCAGGGTCTTTCTCACTGAACCTATAGCTCACTGTTTCACTTAGGCTGGCTGGCTAGCAAGTTTCAGAGATCCTCCTGTCTCTGCCCCATAACCCTCCAGGGCTAAGATTACAGGGGTACACCAACACATATCTCTTTTTACATGAGTGCTGGGGATCAGGTCCTCATACTTTTCCAACTGAGCCATTTTCCTAGCTCCTTTAAAAAGACTTACTTATTTATATTTTAGTTGTATGAGTGTTTTACCTGCATGCATGCAAGTGCACCGCATGCATGCAATGCCCAAAGAGGCCAGAAGATGGTGTTAGATCCCCTGGAACTAGAGTTTCAAACAGTTGAGCCATCATGTGGGTTCTGGGAACTAAACCTAGGTCCTCTGCAAGAGCAGTCAGTGCTCTTAACCACTGAGCCATCTCTCCACTCCCCAACTCCCCCCTTTTATAAAATATTTTATTTATTATTATTTTATGTGCATGAGTGTATTGCCTACATGTGTGTAAGTGCACCCATGAGATGCTAATCCTCATGGAGGTCAGAAGAGGACATTGGATTCCTTGGAATTGGAGTTATGGACGATTGTTAGGCATTATTTGGGTGCTGGGAACTGAACCTGGTTCTTCTGCAAGGGCAGCCAGTGCTTTTATCTGCTGAGCCAGCTCTCCAGCCCTAGCCCCTCTAAATTTGAGAAAGGATCCTATGTATCCTAAGCTGGCCTGGAGCTTGCTATGTCAGGGAGGCTGACCTTGAGCTCCTTATCTTCCTTCCTTAGCCTGGCAAATATGCTGGAGCCAATCACAGGTATAGACCACCATACCCAGTTAGGTTATGTGTGTGTGTGTGTGTGTGTGTGTGTGTGTGTGTGTGTGTGTAATGAAAGTGGAGACTTTGAGAGGAGAGGAAGAGGTCTAAAGAGAAGGATAGGTGAAAACGAGGAAGCAGGGAGAGAGAGAAATGCAATATATATTGAAAAATGAAATGCAGGCATTTGGGGAGAAGAAGGGAGCCAGTAAGGAGCACAAGGGAGGGCAGAGGGGGAGGGCAAATAAGAACAAAGTATAGTGATATGTATGTATGAAAACGTCACAGTGAGGGGCTGGGGATTTAGCTAGATGGAGTGCTGGCCTGTTATACACAAAGCCCTGGGTTCCATCCCCAACACTGCAGAATTTGC